TAGCATAGAGAAAAACATATAATATCAACCTAGCAGTGACACATTTGTATATAATCAGCCAGAAAAATAAAAAGTATATAAAGAGCATTCAATGAAAAGCCAGGGATAAAAGATGAGTTTAAATAACACATTTATAAATGGTCATTGGTCACATTTATTTAGTGTTTTTCTACCTTTTCAAGACACTCAAAGCACTTCACCGATCACCCACTCACACTCACTGGTAGCCAGGCGGGTTAAGTGTTTTTTTTCCCCAAAGACAGACAGCGGCAGTCACCAATAAAAGCTGAGGTTTTTTGTCAGAAGCAGGATTCAAACCAACAACCCTTAGCTCAGAGGACACACACTCTTCCAACTGCTGCAATGGAATCCCTGTGCTTAGGATCCAGGAGTAGAGCATTCCAAAGCTGGGGGCCCGTGACTGAGAAGGAGCAGTAATTGGAGCAGTAGGAACTTTGAGCTACTGTGAACAATGACATTCACACAATGGACAAACACAGACATAACATGGAAGTGATCAGGTCATGGTGACTTCAGTTTTGTCTCTGTTGTTGTGACTAATTTAACAACCGGGATGACTTGCGATGTGACGTGACGTGATGTAAATTGTGGTGTAAATTGCATGCTGTTTTTATTCTGCCTGGAAAGTCTCTGTCTGAAAGAGCTCTGCAAGATAATAATATAATAATATAATAATAATAATAATAAACATTGAAGAACAACATTTGGGAAAGGCAAGCTGAAACAGGTGGGTTTTGATGAGTGATTTAAAGTTCTGTAAGTTTGTGTAAGCTCTCAGTCGTACAGGGATTAGTCAAAGCAAAGGAAGGTTTCTCACCCATCATCTGTACTTCTTAGCAAGTTTTCCCGACGTTTCGTCCTCAAACTAGCGGACTTCTTCAGGGAATGAATTCTCGGACCGCGCGTTGGAGATTTCTCGTTTGGTCTCGTTTGATGTGACATCGCTTTTTACGTCGGTCCCTATTACAGAGGCGGTGGAGGCTGTAAGAGAAAGCCTACAGAAAGACGCCACACTAGGGGAGAGAACAAAACTAACAGCTGACCACATCTGTGAAATACTTGAAATGTGTCTTAACACCACGTATTTCCAATTTAGAGGCACCTTCTTTAGACAGATTCATGGCTGTGCGATGGGCTCCCCAGTCTCTCCTATAGTGGCCAATCTGTATATGGAGAAACTGGAGGAACAAGCCCTGGGCTCTTACCAAGGGACAGCGCCAAGCCATTGGTTTCGATATGTAGACGATACATGGGTTAAGTTAAAGAAACAGGAAGTGGAACCATTTTCAGAACACATTAATTCGGTGGACCCTTTTATAAATTTCACCCGCGAGGATGCTAAGGAGAGTGAACTCGCCTTTCTAGATTGTAAGGTCATCATACTGGAGAACGGACAATTAGAGACTGAGGTCTTCAGAAAGTCCACTCACACTGACCAGTACCTGGCCTTTGACTCAAATCATCCGCTACAACACAAACTCGGGGTCATTAGAACGCTTCAACACCGAGCCCACCAGGTCCCCACAAGCTCGGAGGGAAAGAACAGAGAAACCAAACATGTTCAGAGAGCACTTTCCAGATGTGGCTACCCCAAGTGGTCTTTTACTAAAGCCCAAAGGACGAGAAAGGCCAGAGACACAGTCCTACAGACAGAAGAAAGTAGGAGGAGAGGGGTGTCCTTACCGTATGTGGCGGGAGTTTCAGAGAAACTACAAAGAATCTTTAGGCAACACAAAATCCCTGTGTATTTCAAACCTTTCAACACGTTAAGACAGAAATTAGTGCATCCCAAAGACAAAACACCCAGACACAAACAGAGCAATGTGGTGTATTCAATTAAATGTAGTGAAGAGGAGTGCACTGACCACTATATTGGAGAAACCAAACAAACTCTACAGAAACGACTTTACCAACATCGTAGAGAAAACTCTAGTGGGCCACAGTCGGCGGTTCATCTCCACCTCAAGGCCTCCAACCACACGGTGGATGACACAGAGGTTAAAATTCTGGCTCGGGAGAAGAATTGGTTTGAGAGAGGAGTGAAAGAAGCCATTTTTGTGAGGAAACAAAAACCTTCTCTTAACAGAGGAGGAGGGTTAAGATTTGTTTTGCCTCGCATCTATGACGACATCCTAAAAACAACGCCCTAACTTGGGACAAGGTCAGTGACATGCTAATGAGTTAGGAGGGGTGAGACCTGCACTCCACTTGAGCATCCCAGCAGACAATAGGTCTGTGACATGCTAAGGAGTTAGGGTCGTTAGCCTCAGCAGGGTCCTTAGACCTGCTCCCTTCTACATCAAGCAGACCTGAGATTGTTTACGAGTTAGTATCAGGATTAGGGTGTGGCTAACCACACCCATAGGTTATAAATCTCCAACGCGCGGTCCGAGAATTCATTCCCTGAAGAAGTCCGCTAGTTTGAGGACGAAACGTCGGGAAAACTTGCTAAGAAGTACAGATGATGGGTGAGAAACTTTCCTTTGCCTTAAAGTTCTGTAGTGAGTCGGAGTTGCTGATTGGTTGTGGGAGGGAGTTCCAGAGAGTGGGGGCAGCTGCGGCAAAGGCTCGGTGGCCCACAAGGTTTGGTGTTTAGTCCTGAGGGGAGTAAGAAGGTTGGAGTCTGTGGATCTGAGGCGGAGGAGGGACAGTGATGATGGAGGAGGTCAGGGAGGTTTAAAAGGGCAGGTTATGGCGGGATTTGAAGGTGATGAGGTGAGCCTTGATTTGGATGCGGTACGGAACACGGAGTTGTTTGAGGACGGGGGTGATGTGCTCTCTGGAGCGGGTGTAGGTGAGCAAGCGGGCAGCGGAGTTCTGGATGTATTTTTCGTTTTTGGAGATGTGTGGAAAGGGAGACTGTAGATGAGGCTGTTGCGGTATTCGAGTCTGGAGGTGATGAAGGCGTGAAGCAGTATTTCAGCAGCGTGAGAACTCTGAAACTGGAATAAAGGCCCCACGGGCATGTGTGCTTCTGAACCCGCCTCAGGTCTGCCAATTTTCAACACTACTTTCAGTTTTATTGGATCATGCCAAGTGGAATTAATTCAGCAAAACAACAGGATATCCGGGCTGTAAATTGTAAAGAGCTAGTTAGTAATCAAGACATTTTTAGAGGTTCTTGCATTATATCTTGGTGGATACGGATGGTAATAGGCTCTTTGTGGGATGTCTAGGTATAGCTCATATTTTGCGTCTGTTCTGTGTTTGTGTATTTACTTTTTACTCTGTTGTGGTACTGTATTTTCAACAAATTATCTTCAACAATTTATTGCATATGGGTTGGGACATTCTTTTTGGTAAATTTTTTGAACAAATTGATATTAGAAGAAAGCACAACTGGACCTAAAAGGAAGAAGGTAAAGGGGGGTTTTGCTGACCGATTTACAGATAAGGGATTTTGATATGTTTGTTATAACTTCATTTTGGTTCCCCTCCGAAACCCTCCCAATGCGCTTCAAACCTCTCTTTCAAAGCTCTGACACTTATGTTACAAATATGAGTTGTAAAAATAACATTTTACTCACAACAGTACAGTCGATAATCATCATGTTTATTTCTTTATAAGTGTTTTTTGTTTAAATTAGCCATCATTTTAAAACAAAAAAATGTGAAAAACTATATAATTGCCGCCACCTCCACAGTTCCCATCCATAATAAGTAGGCTACTATTTACATATACACACACACACACACACACACACATATGCATATACACAGATACATATACACACTATTCTTGTTAAAGGCTTTCCAACTTCTGCATACAAAGCCAGTTAAACCAGGCCATAGGATGTGATCATGGGGGTGTATGAAATAGTGTATATGGGGTGTATTGTGGGGGTCTCTTGAAGGCCCCCTCCCCACTGCTGGGATCCTTCTAAGCGACTGCATGTGTGTGATATAATGCCGCAGTGGCCTGGTTAGCTGCAGCGGCGTGTGCGTTGAGTCATAAAGCCGGAGCATGTATGGAGCCCCCCGCTGTGAGGCTTCAAAGAGAGCTAATAAAGAAGCGCTCCATATAGAAAAGATAAGATTTCCGGTTCGAACAAAGTGGCACGCTGCTCAAGGTTCTCTTGTTTTTCCCTGTCCTATATTTAGAGATGTATATGTGTTAGAATAAAGGCATTTGATAGGCCTGTGTAGATGAATAATCAGCTTTTTGTTCTATTAAAGCTACGGTACAAGATTTTCAAACTGTTGAAAAAAGAATATGGCGTTTCAGTCCATGTGACTCTATTCTATCTGTCACAAAGACTCCATCATTACTATAAGGCAGGTTTATTTGTATAGTGCATTTCAAGTGCAAAGAAAGTCAAAGGGCATGAGAAAACCAGAGAGAAACAACACAATAAATTATAATCAAGAATAATCACAGTACATTAAAAATTGTGAATATACAATCCCTCAGTTGTATACACAGCTAGATTTGAACATTGTCAGAGGCCTGTCTCACATTTTCAGGAAGACTGTTCCAGATTATAGCTGCATGAATCTGAAATGCTGCCTTCCTATGTTTTGTTCTGACTCTGGGCACCAGCAGGAGAGCATTACCTGTGCTCCTCAGAGTCCCAGCAGGAGGCCAGTCCCGTGCTCCTCAGAGTCTGAGTTGGTTCATATGACACTAACATAGTCAATTATAGTCAATATTGTCAATGGTCAATAATATGGAGTTTTCGACTTTAGAATTCCATTGGTCAATATTTCATAATTCAAAAACATGACAAGGCAAAAATTATAATGCATGACTGTAAATGAATAAAAAGAAAATTAAAAAAATATGGAATAATAATAAAAACAATAATTATAATCAACTAAAGAGGTGAAAAAACACAGGCAAAAAAATTTAAATAAAAGAATGATCACTCCATGGTCAAGGGTCATGATTAGTTTTATTGACAGAATCACACAACTGGATACTGAATCAGCCTTTTAACACACAAGTAACTCAAAAGTAATAACGCTGTGTTCTGTTTCAGCGGTGAGAAACGACCGCAACAAGAAGAAGAAGGAGAGCCCCAAAGCAGAGCTGGGGGAGAGCTACGAGCTGAGTGCAGAGCTGGAGACCATCATCGAGAAGATCCGCAAAGCCCACCAAGAAACCTTCCCCTCCCTTTGCCAGCTCGGCAAGTACACCACGGTGAGAGCGACCACGGCCTGCCACACCTCACTCATCTGCCTCACACTCTGACACTCACTCTGGGGCTGGTTTAGATTCAGAATAAGAGATCCTTTATTTGTCCCACAGTGGGGAAAATTCAGTGTTGCATCATCGGTTACAGAACAGTAAGAATGAGGAGCACACAACACAAACAAACGATAAATAAACATGTGTTGTGGCCCCTGTAATGATTTTCAATTTTCATTATCACAGTAACTTGCAGCATTGATGGTAATGGGCTACTATGGCATGTTATACTTCATATTAAAGCCTATTATCTCAGGAAATATGAATATGAATATGTTCAATTACTTATTTATTGTTTATTTGGTTGGGACTAGGGCTGGGACAACGCGTCGACGTAATCGGTGACGTCGACGCAAAAAATACACCGACGTATAATATGCGCGTCGGTGCGTCACACACAAAACAAAGATGGCGGCGAGCGGTAGCAATGCGAGTGCCGTGTTAGAGAAGTGCAAGCCGGTGTAACGCTGAGATACACTGCCTTGAAGAGATGCACAGCCTCAGCTGTTTATCATGTAATGCAAACCTGCGCATGCGCGTCTCACGGCAGCCGAAGCAAACCAAGATGGCGGACCGTGAATTTCTTAAAATAGGAAAGTTAAAATACGAACGAATTCAGACACGAATGTCACTTTTAATGCAATTTGAGGCGATATGTTGATGGTTCCGTTTTGTCACATGTGGGTTTTAAGAGTCAAAGTTTTGTGCAAAGTTTAGTTTAAGCAGTCAACTGCGCCTGTGAAACCACAAAGCTAATGTTTTCATAGCAGTCCGCGGCTGCTGACGTAGGCTGATGACGCGTCCTGTGGCCACTCTACACTCTTATGTAGCCATGACAGGCTGATGGCTCCCACTGTTTTTGCTGGAAAAGCACTCTTTGTTTAGCTTAGTAAGTAAGTAAGTTAGTAAGTTTTTATTTATATACCGCCTTTTCACTGCAGATCTGAGTCTCAAAGCGGTTTACAATTGTTATTTTTGGGCATTTGTTTCCAGTACAGGAGGCGCATGCCAGACCTATTGTTCATGTTTTTAGTGGTAGGGGAAACCGGAGTACCCGGAGGAAACCTACGCAGACACGGGGAGAACATGCAAACTCCACTCAGAAAGGCCCTGGTCCGGCCGGGATTCGAACCCAGGACCTTCTTGCTGAGAGGCGAGAGTGCTATCCACTCAGCCACCGTGCCGCTGAGTGGATAGCACTCAATGTAAACTTGAAGCTTAAAGCCTTCAAGTTTACATTGGTTACTGTTTTCTTTTAGTTGCTCTACACAAGTATTTGGCTGAACTTTTTCATATTTTTATTGAATGCTAAGCATCAAATGTTTGTTTCAAGAATGATAAGATGCACTTTTTTCAGTAAGCTGTGTTTTCAAGGCTTTAAGGTTTTATGCTACCTCTAAGAATGTCTTATTTTTTAATTTTAAGAGCAAGCAATACATATTTTTTGTGAAGGAATTCATGTTTTTTTCATTAAAATATTTAAATCAACATGTATACATCAATATTAGTCAATTAATGGGGAGATAATCGAGAATCGAATCGAATCGAAATCGAATCGAAGCGAAAAAAATAATCGTTAGATTAATCGATGCATCGAAAAAATAATCGCTAGATTAATCGTTTAAAAAATAATCGTTTATCCCAGCCCTAGTTGGGACAGTACATTTTAATGAACACATCACTTCGGATTGAGCTAATTTCCATCCGTTGTCCCACATTCGCACTTACAAACACACACTCATTCACCCTGAACTATTGCACATGTTTTTAGTGGTAGGAGAAAATGGAGTACGGGGAGAACATGCAAACTCCACTCAGAAAGGCCCTGTTCCGACTGGAATTTGAGCTCCTTGCTAGAGAGTGCAATCCACTCAGCCACCGTGCCATGTCATATCTTAAGCCTAGCGTACATCGGACTGGCAACTGATTATATCCGTCGCATATGAGTTGCTGCCCCGCACACATCGACAATCTGGCGAAAACGGGCAACTCTGAGTCGCAGGCCAGTCTCTTGAATAACAGCGCGTACATCGACAGCAACTGGCCTCAACTACAGTGTGTTTTCTGACAACAAACTGTTGCGGGCGCGCTATACACGCAATACACACACGTTGTCGGAGCGGCGCATGGAGCGCGCACATCGGAGCAACTGAGGAAAACTAGTTGCCGAAAAGTAGAACACGGGCAACTGACTGGAACTGGAGACCGACTGATCATCTCCAGTTGTAAGAGCGCGCACATCGACCGATTTCGGCAACTGATCATCTCCCACCATCTCCTCTCAGTTGCCAAAAGCCGCCTTGCAACTAGTTGTCCCCAGTTTCTCTGTCGATGTACGCTAGGCTTTACAATACATCTCTTCTTGATATTTTGCCCAGTTCTGGTTGAATCCAAACATTATCTCAAATACAATACATTTGTCAAAAGAAAAGAAAAGAAGAAAAAGAAGAAAAAAACAACTTCTATACTTTTTGCCAGCTTTAATGGTTCATCATTTCTTGTCAAAGGCTTTCTGGAAAATCCAATATAAAAGACGTTATATCATCACATGGTTGTTCTGAACTTGAAAACATGAGGCAGAGTAGAAAAAGGTGAGAATCAGCAGCAGCCTGAGAACCAATATGGAGTCACCACCCTGCCATCTACTGGTGGCAGTGGGATTTACAACCTCCAACGATAAGCCATTTTCATACATGTTAAAGATCAAATTGGATGTATTATGCTGGGCCTTAAACTTGAGCTTGAAGGTCGCAAAAGTCTAAAAGTTTTAGTGAGAGACCACATGCAGGGCTTTTTTCATTTGCATGTCCATGCTCCACACGCACTGGGTTGCAACTGAAGAAAGTCATCAGCACATTTGTTTTGTTTTCTTTTTTCTGTTTATCAGGAGAAACTCAAGGCAGATGTTGTTGATGCACGTTTGTGAAGGGGGTAGTTATGTTTTGGAGCAAACAATGTTGAGACAATGAGCATAATATGTGTTCTTTAATGTGAATTGTGCAGACTATTTATCGACATGTTTAGCTGTGACTGGAGTAGGCTATTTGGTAAACAGTAATGAGGTTGATTATCAATTCTGCAGGTGCAAAGTACATGTTTATTGGTTTAGTTCTACAGCACATTTGCACGGTAATTCAGTTTGCTCCGATGTTACGGTTCTAATCACTTCTGCGCACACACAAACCCTTGATAACTGTCCCCCTAAGAGCGCGAGACACACACAGCTCTTGTTAAGTACAAACCATCATCTTTGTCCGCTCTTCTTTCTTCTTTGCGTTCAACCGACGTGTCAAGAGCGATCTCCACGCGGCTAATCCGGCGATAGCATCTTTATTCCGGAATCAAAGGAGGCCTTAAGCTGTCAGTTAGCCGCTAGCTGTTAACCGCTAGCTGCTGGAGTGTAACCGCAGCAGCTTTATGTCATCCGGGCTGTCACTTTGAAGGCTTTATTCCAGATCACCCCCTCCACCACCACCGCTCTCGAGGTCCCACCAAACTAACAGCCCATGGACGTCCACGGGGGCAGCAGAGGGTGAAGCCGGGAGAACCTTGGAGCGCGTTTGTCCAGACCCTGTGCAGCTCATAGATAGAGCTTTTTTGTTCCCGGCGGGGCCCCTCGCTGCTCCGTGTGAAAGTCAATGTCATCCAAATGTCAAAAAGAAAAGAGTGATGTTCTATTTTTTATGAATAGTTTGAAGAGAGTGGAAGTTGGTGCAAGCGGAGAGCTGGTTTTGTAAGTTGCTTAAGCCTAGCGTACATCGACAGAGAAACTGGGGACAACTAGTTGCAAGGCGGCTTTTGGCAACTGAGAGGAGATGGTGGGAGATGATCAGTTGAAATAGGTCGATGTGCGCGCTCTTACAACTGGAGATGATCAGTCGGTCTCCAGTTTCAGTCAGTTGCCCGTGTTCTACTTTTTGGCAACTAGTTGTCCTCAGTTTCGGAGATATGACCCGATGTGCGCGCTCCATGCGCCGCTCCAACAACGTGTGTGTATTGCGTGTATTGCGAGCCCGCAACAGTTTATGTCAGAAAACACACTGTAGTTGAGGCCAGTTGCTGTCGATGTACGCGCTGTTATTCCTGAGACTGGTCTGCTACTGGGAGTTGCCCGTTTTCGTCAGATTGTCGATGTGTGCGGGGCAGCAACTCATATGCGACGGATATAATCAGTTGCCAGTCCGATGTACGCTAGGCTTTAGTTTGAGGATTGTTGGTGGTATAAGCACAAAAGTAGCACAGAACAGAAGTTTGTGAAATATGGCACAGGGAGAAGTTTCTGTAGTTACTCGTTTATCCTGTTGAAGTTGGAAAAGTTTTCAAAGTGGGGCGATTCTTTTTTTCCAGAGGGAACATTGGGGGGTAAAGTGTATTTGTAAAGCGCCTTTCACAGACCGGTATCAAAAAGAACTTCACAATTAAAAAAAACAGGGTAAAAAGCAATTAAAAACACATTCTAAACAAACCTTCACACACACACTTTATACACTTTTCTAACCACCTGAACTGCTGAAGTCTAATCGCGGAGATATCACACCTGTTAGTTGTAGGTCTGAGCCAGTAGCGGCGCCAGGTTTGCAATTTTGGGTAGGCCTGCAGATTAGTAAGTAGGCCAAATTCGCACGCAAACTACAAGGGGTAGCTGGAATTGGGGTTTCAAAGAATATGCTTCAAACGCACGCACGCGCACACACACGCACCCAAGCACACACATACACACAAGCTCATTTATGAAACTTGCGTAGAAAAATGTGTACATTTGGGGTGTATATTCCATTTACGCAAAATCCAACGTCGGATCGTGTGAGATCAGCCCAGATCTGAGCGTACGCAGCTGCGGGTGTTGATAAATCGGCTGAATACGAACGTATTTATGAAAGTCACGCCTAGAATTATGCAGCAATGTTCGCGACAGGTCAGCACGGAAGTCCAAAAAGACTGTTGGAAGCCTC